AACCAGACTGGAGTGGGGACTTGTTCACCTCTGCCTCTGCCCCCTCCAGCACCAGGCTGCACTGCTTCTGCCTCCACACACAGTCTGCATTCTCCCCCACCAGTCCCCCAGACTTGCCTTCCCAGATCTGTGCATAGCTGGCTCCTTCCTGTCACTCAGTGCGGGGCTCCCTGGTGCCTCCCCAGCCCTCTCTGACTCCTGAATCCTGCAGGCCGGGAATCTTCCAGGCACTAGAGGGTTCTCTTTGTGCAAGCATCAGCTCCAGAAATGATCTCTGGGTACGACTGCATGATCCCGATGGGTACCACAATAGCTCCTGTCCCAAAGGCTATTCTAGAATCTTGCCACTTCCCCATAGATTGCAGTCCCACACAGCTCCCCTTAAATCTGGGCCAGCGTGGGGCTCGCTTCTGACCAAAGTGACTTGGTTAGCTGGGTCAGTCACTCCAAGAAGCTGCCACCCAGCTCTCCCAGCCACTGCTCCTGGGGCTCCAAACCACCAGCTACTCCAAGACCTCCATGCTATGAGGAAGCCCAAGCCACAGGAAGAGCCTTGGATTGATTGACAGCCCCTGCTGGCTCTCCACAGCCAGACAGTAAAGGGATTGTCCCCAGCCTGTGACTCCAGCCTCCCGCCATCCAGGTGCAGACACATCACCCTTGGCAGCTCCCTATATTGCTAGCCCACAGAATGTAGGAGCATTGTGGGACAGATGCTCAAAGCCTCTAGGTTTTGGAGTCATTTGTTACACCATGAGAGCGACCAGGGCAGTACTGACTGTTGATCTCTTCCACTAAGATGTAGTCTCCCTGAGAGGGGAGGCTTCCAGATCTTGCTCCTTCCTGCATGCACAGTGCCCTGCACACAGTAGCCACTCAATAGGCAAGAGCTGAAAAAGGGAAAGAAGTTGGATTTGGGGAACCATAATAACTGCCTTGCAGAGCCTCCGACTGACTTGTTCATGCAGCATACAGCCACCGTGTGCTCACTGAGTAACCAGCGTGTCCCCAGCAGCTAAGGACACTGGGAAACCTGCCGTGCAGACACTGGCGATGAGCAGAGGAAGACAGAAGTCCCTGCCCCACCCTGCCCACCTCCCCAGCCCCCTTCTCAAAAGCCAGAGGTGCGGTTGCCAATGCACCCAGCCCACATCTGGGGCTGTGTTTAATTATCCCCCGCCTGCTTGCAGCTGGGCTCACACCCACAGCGCAGGCACGGTGTCCTGGCCTCTCCCTAGGCAAGTGATGACTCCAGACAGGGACCATGTGGCAGGAAGGCAGCCACGGCCCTGCACATCTGGCCCCTTCCCGGGAGGTGCCTCCCCAGCAGCTGGCCTCCTCGGGCTCCCAGCCGTCCCCGGGCCAAACAGAAGCCCAGGCTTTCAAGCTCTGAGAGAGAAAGTCCTCCTGGCAGAGGTGCAGCAGGCTGGGGGGTGGGGGGGGAGGCTGCAGGACGTGCCTCCAGGTTTAACCACTTAATCCCCAAAGTACCTGCCAAGAACCAGTTAGCATGTCTGGCCAGCCGGCCAGCCCGTCATTAACTCATTAAAGCAGGCTCCTGCCAGGCCCATTATCTTCCTTGCCGCTGACCACGCTGCCTCTTGGGCTTGCAGAGTCCCCCTCTCTCCCCTTCCCCTGGCCCCCTCTCCCAGGCAGATTCCCCGCCCCCTCCCAAAGCACACGTCTCCCCCCTCCCACTCCACCACCAGCCAGTGCTCACCAGAAAGCGTCTTTTGTTCTTTGAGCACTGACTGGTTAAGTCACGCGCATCCCCAACCTCCCAGGAAAAGTGCCTCTCCCAGTGCATCACTGCCCCAACCTGTGGGTGCCACTGCAGCCGGTCCTCAGAGACAGAAACTCCAGTTCCAGTTCTGACTGCGAGATGAGGATGCCTCTGCCTCGATTGCCCATTTGTGATACCACCGATGGCGCTAACGCTTGGTGACATTGGAACCAAAGGCCGGGCACGACCCTGGACACTGGAAACACATGCACTCTTATCTTTCCCACCTCGAAGAGGACAGCTCCAGTTGATGTGCAGAAGAACAGAGAGAGACCAGGTCACACCCAAGGTCATGCTGCCAGCAAGAGGCTGGAACCTGAAGTCCAGTTCCCCTGGACTCCCACACCCACGCTCCTAACCATCACCCTACTTTGGCCTACCCGACCCTGATCTCCCAAGAGGGCAGGTAGGAATGGTGCGCAGTTGCCAGCGATGGAGAAAGAAAGGAACTAAATACGGGGTAATAATCTTGAAGTTCACGCTCACGCCACTTGTTTTGCTCCAGGAACTGTCAGTTTTCAGCGCATGCACTCATTCAACCCTCGGAAGACTCGCACCGTGTCCCCACTTTACATAGGGGAAAACTGAGTCTCGGGTGGTTTGTTTCTGGTCTGTTTGCTGTTTTGACTTCTGACAGGGCACTGCTGGCTCTCAACAGCAGCTCCAAAGCAAGTCTGTTTTACCTCTGATTCCTGCAGGCAGCTAAGCCCACCCTTCACGGCAAGGTGGGGACCCCCGCCCTACACGGCTGGCACAGGCCTCCTGGTCACTTCTAAAGTAGGCGTGGCCACCCGCGTTTCTCCCCAGGAGAGGAGAGGGCAGAGCTGCCTCCCTCCAACGCCGAACTCAGCCAATGAGCTTTTGCGCACGGGTTGCCTTTCACGTCTTCCTACCTGAATGGAGTTAGGAAAAAATGGGTTTCTCCCCGCCCCCCCCAAAGAAGCCACGAATCTGAGAAAGGCCTGAGCCTCTAGTACTCTGAGGTCAGGATGTGGGCGGCGGGGAGCGAGGTTCACCCTGGCGTGGGAGGGGACGCCGGCAGCCCCGACTCGGGGACCACACGCCGCGGGGGCGCAGGGAGGCTGTGCAGCACAGCTCCGGGAGAGTCCCGGGCCGCGCGCGGCGGCGCTGGACCGAAGCTGTGGGCGGCATCCTACGGTCAGGGCACGCGAGGCCGGAGCAGCCTCGAGGGTGTGGCCGCTGGGGATGCTGGGGGAGGGACCCAGCCGAGGGGCGGAGAGCCCTCGGGATCGGCCCGGCGGTCAAGTGGAGCCGGAACGCAGAACTAAGCAACTCTGGGGGCAGAAGCGGGGCAGGGATGGGGGTGGGGGAGCAGAATCAACTCTGTGGCGACAGTTACCTGCCCCCTAGCGGGTCTCCTCCCGCCCGCTCCGGGCTGTGCGGGCCCCCGCTTCCCAGATCCTCCCCCGCATCCCGGCGCGGAAAGGGGTCCCGGTGCGCTCGGCCAGCAGTCTCCCTGCTGGGGCCCGACACGCACCCCCACCCCCACGGGCACCAGCCACCCCGCACCGCCTGGTCCCCATACTCTCTAGGACCCGAGGAAGCCGCGTCCCGACGGGCCCCCGTGCTGTTTAGCTCCCTCTCGGTTCTGAGCGCTCCTGTTTCCCACTGGCTGCGAGCCGCCTCTGGCAGATTCTTCTGCCCCGCCCCGGTCCTAGCCTTCCCTCCTCATCGGGTCTCTCTTTAAACTTCCGTCTCCTCCCACCGTTTTTCTCTCTTTTCCCAAAGTCCACGCTTTGGGCTTCGACTTCCTTTTGCTCCCTAGGCTCCTACCCAAGTTTTGCTCCAGAGTGGGCAGTCCTAGCCTGGCCCTCCCGGACCAGGGACACCCTCGCCCCGCCCCGTCTTGGCTCTGGGAGGCAGGGAAGGCCGGGGAGAAGAGGATGGGACCTCCGGGAGCAGGGCGGAGCGCGCCCTAAAGCGCGCACTTGTCTTCACCAGCGCCCGGGCTTCGCGGGCCCACGCGACATCTGTCGCCCGCGCTCCCGGCTCACACCCCGCGCACCCCCGCAGCTCCCCCGGCGCTGCCACCCCCCACGCTCCGGCTGCCGCCTCTCCCCGCGGGCGCAGACGCTCGGGCCTCGCCCGCGGGCGCTGTGCCAGCTCGCTAAGGTGTGTGCGCCCCGCCAGGCTCGGCCGGGACTCGCGAGCGCGCGGCGTGGCGGGCCCAGGCATCCCAGGGCCTCTGCCATCCCCACCTCTGGTGCTCGCCTTCCACCTACGGTGGGGTCTGCCCGAACCTCTCCACCCTCATTCTCTGTCGCTTCACTACTCCAGAACCTGGAGAGAGGATCCTCACAATTGCGCTCTCCCAAAGCGCCAAGCACACAGCCAGGGCTCATGAACTTCTCCGCCTAAGGACTCGTACCTTTCTCCCACCGATGCCAAACAAATTAGGCACTCGATACTCACTTCCCATCTCCACCCCCGCGCAGCGCCCAGCAGACAGCAAGCTCTCAAAACGCCCCCTCCCTAAACAAAGCCCGGCATCCCGAGAGGAGCTCAATGAATGCTCCTGATTCAGGCTTCCCCTTGGAGGTTCCCTAAATCTCCAATATCAGCCCTCGGCTGGGACATCTCATTGCAGCTACGCCGTGTGGGGACTAAGAGGCCAACCAGCTCCTCACTCCGGACAGCTTGCTGGAGAGGCCCGAAGTTGGCAGCGCGGAGCAAAACTGCAAAGTGCGCGGGCCTGGAGGAGATCAAAGCGAACAGCCAGAATCCTGGAGGCGGAGGAAGTGGCGCGGTGCGCTCTCAGGGCGCGCGACAGTGGGGATCCGAAACTGGGGACGTGGGTCTTACGGGGAAGGGGGTCGGGAGCAGAGGCGGCGGGGAGGACAAGCGGCTTGGCAGAGGCCAGGGATTTGCCTTGAAACTGCGATGGGTGATTCTCTGGCTGGGTGGTGACTCCGTTCTCAAAGCAGGGGCACTTGGTACCTAAGTCGAGTGTCTACTTGTGGGGCTGGTGGGGGCTGCGGAGGCTCAAGTGCGCCAGATCCACTGCGCTGGAGGGAACCGCAGGATGAGCTCAAGGCGACGGACGGAAGCGGACAGAGAAGTGGCCCTGCCGCTCGGAAAGATATGGGAACCAAGATCCCTGCAAGGCAAGGGAGCAGAGGAAGAAGGGGAAGCGACGCTACGAAGCCCGAACTTGCCCCTCTCCCGCGCTCTGGCTCTCGCTCACTCGCTCGCGTACCTGTTGCTCGCTCCGGCTGGGTCTCGGCTCCGGCCCCACCAAGAAGCCCCGCGTTCCTACAAGTTCCGCCTGCCGAGCAGCCAGGCCGCCAGCGCCGCCACCTGCGCGGCCGCGCACAGCCAGGGCCAGTAGGTGGGGAGCGCGCCGGGCGCCGGCGCCCTCCGGCTCCGCGCGCGGCGCCGCCACATGGTGCGCTGGTGCAGCTCGTCGCCGAGTGCCTTGAGCCGGGCGGCGGTGAGCTGCGCGGCGGCCGAGCGCAGCCCCAGGCGGCCCGCGCTGCAGGCGCACACGGCCGGGGGGCCGCGGCCACGGTGCAGGGGGCACGGGCACATGACCGCTCGCCTCGCTCCCTCCGCGCGCTCCGGCCGCCCCTCGCCTCCTCTCCCTCCGGCCTCTGCGCCCGCCGCCGATGCGCTCCAGCCGCCGGGGGCCTCCCCTGGACACCAAGTTTCTCCTTGTGTAGTGCGTTTGTTGTGCTGACGGAGCTATTATTAATTAAAGTGTCACATGGTGGATGGGGGCGGGGAGGGAGCGGAGAGGGGGGTTACATCATCCGGCCCCCGGGGGGGGGGGGCTGCAGGCAGAAGAAACCGAGAGGTAACTTTTAACCCTAGCATCGCCGGCGGCGAGGGGGCGCGTGGTTTGGGAGAGGTGGGGCGCGCGACGCTGGGACGAGAGCAGGCGCCCCGCGGCGGAGAGCTTGGGCTTTGAGGGGTCTCGGGGGGGGGGCACCCCCGCGGAGACGAGGAGCGCGAGGGAGACGTTTTCTCCTTCCCCTTATCCTGATTTCAGCTCCAGTTCCGATTTGGCGGAGGCAGCAGGCTTGTTGGCCGCTGTGGATGAAGCGGATAGAAGAACTGGGCAGTACCGTTCAGAAACAACCCCCAGGCTGCTGTTTGGTTCTAGGGGAGGTGGGTGGATTCTAAGTCTGGCGGAAGGTCCAGAGGCAGCCCAGCCTGCTTCATTTCGGGTCCGCCTTGGCACCTGTACGCCTTTGGGTGTGAACACACACCCCCGCACGGCTCCGCCCGCAGCCTAGACCCTGCCGAGCGCCTGGAGCGCCGCTGGAACCCTGGAGGAGGGCGAGGGTGGGGACTGGAGGGGTCTGGCCAAGGTCGGGTGCGCGCACAGCGCCCGAACCCCGAAGACCCTCACAGGGGGGCTTTCTGCATGGGAACTTGATTTTTGTCTGCTTTCTTGGTGAATTTTTTTTTCCCCTGCTGGGGTTAAAGTTGCTAGCAGAGACGTGCGCGGTGGAGACCCGAAGGGACCGGCGAAGGTAAGGGAGAGGGAGGGGGGATGACTCTGGCCCTCCTCTTTCCTATCCTAGGGCGGTCGCTGTTCTGCAGACTACAACATGTGGTATTGTCACTCTCAGGAGTCTTTGGAGAACGAGACCTCTCCGGTCTTAAAGCACGGGGATTCAGGCCATTGGAGGCGCCGCGGCTCGGAGCCTGTGACCTGGAAGCTGTCCGGAGGCTCTCCTTTCCCTCCTTCCCACCAGCAGAGGTTTGCCAAGCTCTGAGGAGTCCTTTGGTGCCTTGGAAGAGCTACCTCAAGATCAGGAACTTAGCTCTGGGCTGGATGTGTCAGGCGGAGCCTGTCCTTGGCTTGTGGAGAAATGACAGAGGCCAGATCCCAGCTGGGCCATGTGCTCTCGATGGCCTGTGCTCCCACCCAGCCCTGGTTCTCCTGCCCTTGACAATGGCCAACACTCACTGAGCATCTTCTAGGTCAGGTGCCCTGCAGATGGGCTCTTGCCTGGGCTACCCAAAGTGAATTTCACAACTATCCTAGTGAAGAAACTGAGGCACGACGGGGAAGGCCTGAGGGCACAGCTCCCTAGTGAAAGGCGAAGCGTGCGTCTGGGTCTGCAGTAGGCTCTGAGCCGTTAACCATGGTTTTATACTGCCCCCTGTAATCTAGGAATAATAATACCTCCCTCCCAGGATTGGAGCAGAGATTAAATGAGAGAAATGTATGCCAAGCACCTGGCATGCGGCGGGCCTTGGATAAACCTTGGTTCTCTTTGCTTTTTGGCTAGATCCACTCCCCCATTCTCCTGGGACTCACCTCCTTAATCCCCGCTAGTCTTTGCAGGGGGGACCTGATCCATTGCCCGGGTGTAGCGTTCCAAGAATGAAGATACAGTGTCTATTTAAAAAGCCCTTTGGATTTAAATCGAACAATCCCCCCCCCCTCCTTTTTAATCTGCACGCTTTTAACGGCTCACTTCATGGACATTAATTTTAATGGGACGATTATTACCCTGTTTGGATGCCTGCCCCCTCAAAATGCTGGGCTCCCAAGGTGGCGCTGGGTCGGGTCCCAGCAGCTTGGATGTTTTCTACAGCAGAGAGAGTGCAGGCTTGGCCACGGGGATGCAGCATTCAGCAGGAGAAGAGGATGATGGAGAAGTGGGGACAAGGCAAGACCTCCCTCTCCTAGCACCCTGCATCTGAGCGCCCCTCATCTGCTCGCACCAGAGTTCTCCTAGCCCACCCCACTGCTCACTCACTGGTGAACTTGGCCTTGAGATGTGGCATTGTGGAGCTTCCATTTCATTAACTGCAAAGTACAAATAATAATGGTAGCAACAGTCTCACAGGTTTGAGTAAGACCCTACCAGGGGCCGGTGCTGTGGCATAGTGAGTAAAGCCTCCTCCTGCAGTGCCAGCATCCCATATGGGTGCCAGATCGAGACCCGGCTGATCCACTTCCAATCCAGCTCTCTGCTATGGCCTGGGAAAGCAGTGGAAGATGGCCCAAGCCATCAAAGAAGGAGGTACTTTTAAGGAAGGAGAGAACTTCCACTTTGCTTATGGCCCTGACTAAATACTGATAGAGTTTGTGGACTCAAAAGGCTTCCATAGCCTTGGCAGCTCATGAAGAGCCTTGGGTGATTACTGACATCATAAATAATAGTGTCAATTGTTAAATCAACAGCAGGAGTCACTGTGCACTTACTCCCCATGTAGTACCTCTGTCCTTAACGAGTTATACTATGAGATTTGATGATAAAAATCAGTCTTCAAACACTACTTTATATGTTGTGTGTCTGTGAGGGTGCAAACTGTTGAAATCTTTACTTAGTATAGAGTTGATTTCTGTATATAAAGATAATTAAAAATGAATCTTAATGAAGAATGGGATGGAAGAGGGAGTAGGAGGTGGGATGTGAGTATAGGGGAGGGTGGGTATGGGGGGAAGAGCCACTATAATCCAAAAGCTGTACCTATGAAATTTATATTTATTAAATACAAGCTTCAAAAAAAAAAAAAAAAGATGGCCCAAGTCCTTGGACCCCTGTACCTGTGTGGGAGACCCGGAAGAAGCTCCAGGCTCCTGGCTTCAGATGTGGCCAAATGGGGAGTGAACCAGCAGATGGAAGACCTCTCTCTCTCTCTCTGTAACTCTGACTTTCAAATAAATAAAGAAGTCCTTAAAAAAAAAAAAAAAAAAAACTCGAGCAGTAAACCCCTCAGGATGTGCCTGGCATAATCTGAGCATTTAGTACATGTTGGCTACAGTTATTATTTTTTATTTTTAAAAAGATTTTATTTATCTATTTGAAAGAAATACAGAGAGAGAGAAGGAGAAAGAGAGAGAGAGATGTCTTTCATCCACTCCTTCACTCCCCAAATGGCTGCAATGACCAGGGCTCGGCCAGGATGAAGCCAAGAGTCAAGAGCTTCATCCGGCTCTCCCACATGGCCCACGTGGGTGCAGGAGCCCAAGCACTTGAGCTGTCTTTCATTGCTTTCCCAGGTGCATTAGCAGGGAGCTGGATTGGAAGTGGAGCAGCCAGGACTTGAACTGGCATCCATATGGTATTCTGGCATTGTGGGCAGAGGCTTAACCTTCTACACCACAGAGCTGGCCCTAGTTATTTTTTTTTTTTTGACAGGCAGAGTGGACAGTGAGAGAGAAAGAGAGAGCGACAGAGAGAAAGGTCTTCCTTTTCTGTTAGTTCACTCCCCAATGGTCACTGCGGCCGGCGCACTGTGGCCGGCACACCACGCTGATCCGAAGCCAGGAGCCAGGTGCTTCTCCTGGTCTCCCATGTGGGTGCAGGGCCCAAGGACTTGGGCCATCCTCCACTGCCCTCCTGGGCCACAGCAGAGAGCTGGCCTGGAAGAGGTGCAACTGGGACAGAATCCGGCGCCCCGACCGGGACTAGAACCTGGGGTGCTGGCGCCGCGGCTCACTAGGCTAATTCTCTGCCTGCGGCGCCGGCATCTAGTTAATATTTTTATAGGCGATCATGTAGTCACTAAGTGGTGTACACTGAAGAATGTCGGGGCCCTACACCTCACATACACATGGTTCCCTATAGTAAGTGGTGATTCCATCACTGATGCCAAACATTATCCTGAGAAAGCAAATTCTTGGGAGAGCAACTCAACACTTCCCTAACCCTCTAGTCAACATGAGGTTTGGATGCTGATGTTGAATTTATTGAGCATTTGTTTACTGCTTTCTCTTTGCCTGGCACTGTTGAAACTGCTCTGGCCGTATTGACTCATGGGAAGCCGGTAACCCCAGGAGGCAGGTACAGTGATGTTCAGTGTGATGAGTGAGCAAACCAGGACAGACCATTTAAGTCACTGATCCAAGGTCACACAGCTGTCTGCCCCCAAAGTGTGTATATCGTGTCACCACTGGGAAGTCGGAGGAAGAAGGAGGAACTGCTATGGGCTGACCCATGGCCCCTCCCCAAATTCATATGTTGAAGTCCTAACCCCTCCCCCAGTACTTTAAAATGCAACCGTATTTGAAGACAGGGTCTTTAAAAGATTTATTTATTTCACAGGTAGACTGACAGAGTGGGAGAAAGCGATCCTTCATCCATTAGTTCATGCCCCAGATGACTGCAACAGCCAGGGCTGGTGGGCCAGACCAAAGCCAGGAGCCAGAAACCCCATCTGGGTCTCCCACATGGGCGGCAGGGGTCCAGGCACTCAGGCTGTCTTCTCTGCCTTCCCAGGTCCGTTAGCAGAGTTGGATCAGGAGTGGAGCAGCTGGGGCTCAACTGGTGCTCCAGCATGGGGTACCGGTATTGCACGTGGTGGCTTACCCTGCTGCATCAGTAGAGACAAGGTTTTTAAAGAGGCAATTAGGCCAGCACTGCAGCTCAATAGGCTAATCCTCTGCCTGTGGCGCTGGCACACTGGGTTCTAGTCCCGGTCGGGGCGGCAGATTCTGTCCCAGTTGCACCTCTTCCAGTCCAGCTCTCTGCTGTGGCACGGGAAGGCAGTGGAGGATGGCCCAGGTCCTTGGGCCCTGCACCCCATGGGAGACCTGGAGAAGCACCTGGCTCCTGGCTTCAGATCAGCACAGCACACGCTAGCCGTAGCGGCCATTTGGGGGGTGAACCAATGGAAGGAAGACCTTTCTCTCTTTCTCTCTCTCTCACTGTCTACACTATCTAACTCTGCCTGTCAATAAATAAATAAAAAATAAAGAGGCAATTAAATGGGGCTGTGGCATAGTGGGTGAGGCCGCCGCCTGCAGTGCTGGCATCCCATATAGGTGCCGGTTCGAGTCCTGGTTGCTCCACTTCCCATCTAGCTCTCTGGTATGGCCTGGGAAAGCAGTGGGACATGGCCCAAGTCTTGGGCCCTGCACCTGTGTGGCAGACCCCGAGGAAGCTCCTGGCTTTGGATAGGCGCAGCTCTTGCCGCTGTGGCCATCCAGGGAGTGAACCAGCAGATGGAAGACTTCTCTCTCTCTGCCTCTCTGTAGTTCTGCCTTTCAAATAAATAAGTATTTTAAAAAGAGTTAATTAAGTTAAAATGGTCATCAAGGTGGACCCTAATCCAATAAGAGTGATGCCCTTCTAAGAGGAGATGATCACATGGACACAGAAAGCGGCATCCACAAGCTAAGGAGAGATGCCTTCGAAGGAACGGCGCCCGCGGACATGCCGGTCCCGCACTTCCAGACTCCGTAACTGTGCAAAAGCCAATGCCTGGTGTTCGAGCCACCAGACCGTGGTGTCTGGCCATGCCACGGTGGTGC